CTTCGTGCGTACGCGCGGGGGCTGCCGAGTCCCGCGGCCGCGACGCCGTGGGTGGCGAGTCCGGGGCTTCAGCGCTCACTCGTGACGCCTCGTGGCGTCTCGCGCGGTCTGGCGGTGTATTCGACTAAGCTCGCGGAGACGCTGGACGGTTTCCTGATTGTCCTTACGAAACGTTCGTTACGTTGGCGCCTCGTCTTTCTGGCCGCCGAAACGGCCCTCGAAGATGCCATGGTCTCTGTCATTATCCCCATGGCCGCACTTTACCTGACTCCGTACTTCTTCCACACACATCACAACAGTTTCTCCATGGACACCACCTTGGTGCCCAGGTCGGACGGCCGGCCGACCCCCGCAGTTGGCCTGTCTTCGGGGGCTGACATCTGTTTGGTGTGTCTGGTGTCGACCTGCAGCGTGGGTGTAGGGAAGTTGGGTGGGATTCTGGCAGGTGCCTTTGTCCAGGGCGGCGGCGGGGGCAGTTTCACTTCGGCCGACCGACCAGGGTTGCGGCGCCTGTTCGGCTCCGTGCTCCTTAGCGCCCTCGCATTATTGCTGCTGCCCTGTGGAGTCTTACTCGCGCTCAAGGACTACCCCTGGCTCTGCCGACTCTTCGGACTCGCCACACGCGAATCAGCTCTGGACCCTGCCGGCTACCTAGGTGCTGCCGCCGCCCTCCTGGGTGTCTTCCTCTTCTTTCTTTTCTCAACGCTACCCAAGGTCGGCTTCTCCTCTCTCATACAAACTTGCGTAGCCGTCGAAGGCAACGAAGCCCAAGCCGTCTTCAGCTTCATCGGCATCTTTATAACTGTCGTCGACGCACTCATGATTGTCGGGCTTAACATAGTCTTTTACTACGCCGGCCCTGCCTACTTCGACGCCGCACTCATGGCCGTGGTCACGATCTATATCGCACACGCCGTCTTCGAATACCTACGAGGTAACGCTCCCACCCTTGTCCCAACCCGTGTGTCAACATGTGTGTCAACACACACACATGTGTAAACGACACTATTGTTTAGGCCCGGAACTGATAGCTTCGGAAGTTGACTGCTAACTCTTACATGTCTAGTCCCCTAGTCGTCCCTTAGCCAAAGGCTTAGTCCCTTAGTCCCTAGACCCCTAGCCCTAGTCCCCTAGTCCCCTAGTCCCCTAGCCCTAGACCCTAGTCCTGTTGGTCGAGTGCATGCACGGCCTAGCCCCACAGGTGACACATTTAGATGGCTGGATCAGCGAAGTTTGCGAGTGAGGAGTTGAAGGCTTTGTGCCAAACGCGCGTGGAAGCGGTGGCAGGTGGTACGCAGGGTCCTGTGGGCCGTGTGGACGAACTGGCGGGGTATATTCCGGACCCGATCCCTTCTGAGGCGTGGGGTATATGGGCTTCTAGTGGCTACTTAATTGCTGCGAAATCGAGTGATGGGATGAACGGTTGGTACTTTACAGTGGAGGCAGAGGAGTTGCCGGCGTACCCGCAGACGTCTTATGCAGCAGAGGATAACAATGGACAGGCAATGACCGTTGAAGGCGAAGCTGCGGCCATGGCAGCTTTCATCGCTGGCACTCAGAAATTCTTCTTCATCAACGGCGAACGTTTCACTCAAACTGCCGACCGTGCTCCCGAAGGACACTCTTACTTCGTCAACTGTTCTGGACCCAACTCCAGAGGCGCACTCTGTCACTTCGATACTGCTGGCACCGGCGTCTCCATCTTCATCTATTCATCCAGCAAGCCCGTCGGTACTGACGAACGCATGGGCCTTGCCAAGACACTCCCAGATTTCGAAGCACAACCTGTCGACTCGCGAAATCTGCCCTCCCTCCTCGCAGGCTTCGCAAACGAAACATATGCACCCTTCTGGATCTGCCAATAAAAACCACTCCACATAGTGGGTGACTGTCGGCTTTTCGGTACTTCATAGCCGCCCAGAGGGTGGGTGTTTCCAGCACCAGTCGCTGTGCTGCTTTTTACCAACAAACAACCCACCATACTCGCAGCCAGCCGATACACGCATACGGATCTTCACGTGCTCAAGTGTGACTCCGACCAGTGGTGCTCATGGCATTGTTCTTTAGGTGTCATGTGTTCGACGCACACATGTGTTCGACGCACACATGTGTTCGACGCACACATGTGTTCGACGCACACATGTGTTCGACGCACACATGTGTTCGACACACACATGTGTTCGACGCACACGACTTTTTGTTGTGTTTATCATATCCGTGTGTTATGTTCGCAGGTTGGCTTTCTTCACAGGTTGGCTTGCCGTATTTTTTGATTGCAGCGTTCGGACCAGCGGAGAGGGGGAATATCTTTTTGTGAAATCAGGTTTGAGTAAATGCTGAGTTTGCAGGCAACTCGTCAGGAGGGTTGGGTGTCCGGTTTGTATGCTTTATTGGGTACTGCAGTGGTGCAGGTGTGTCCGGCTCAGGGACAAAGCCTGAATCCATTGGTGGTGCCGAACGATGCAAGTGAGCAAATCAAGTTGAAGAAGTTGCTAAGTTGTATACCGCAGAAAGCGTTTCGTTCGCACTTGGAATATTGTGTGAATCAATACCTACAAGGTAAGTTGACCAAGGATGCTTTCAAGGCGGGGTGTGAGGCGTACAGTAGTCTGGTTCAATGTGTGTTAGGAGCACGCGAATTAGTAGCCACCGGTTGGTTGTTAAGTGCTCAAGAGAAGCAAAGATCTAAGAGGAAGGATATGTATGCTGGTGACTTTTTGGAGAAACGGGAACATGACCTCAAGCGCATCCGTCTTGTGATGAGCAATATCCATACCATTGTCAACCTGATGCAGCAAGCTGTATTTTCTGAACAATTCACAACCGTTCCTGGTGGCTCCTCCATCGAATACGAAGACCAAGACGACTCTGAAGACCAAGACGACTCTGAAGTACGAGCCGGAGGCGTCATTGTTTATCGTGCTGTCCAAGAAAGAGTCGAACCAGATCGAACAGGCAGAGTAAATTATGATGCTATTATGAACTCGGTCGAAAAGCCAGGCCATGTAAACGCTTTGCTCAGAGCGACCCTTACTGAAAACCCGTGGCTCGAACGAGTTCAGGAAGCGCTGTATACATCTTCCGCGGTCATTACCAACGGCATGCATCGAGATGATGACGCAGCTCAATTTGCATGTCAGGAGGAAATTGTCAAAGAGTTCGAGACCATGGCGCAAAAGGAAGTAAATAGACTCCAAGCCGAACAACGGAAGAAGACGCAAAAAAAGGACTCTTCGTGTTTCAAAAAGCTCTTCTCTAGGAAAAAAAAAAACACTGAACAAAATTCAGACCCAGTTCCAGATCTGACGACCTCTGCAACGAGTGTTGAACAACCTCCAGTGGAGGCGTACAACGCGTGGGTGGACGAGCCCGAGGTGGATTGGTTCCGAACTTGTCACTTCGGCCGTCAGGAAGGGTTCCGAGCGGATCATTATCCATACGGTGAGTTCAAACCGACGCGATCGAACACACCGTCTTCGCAGTATGTGGTGGGTCTCCGAGAGATTGAGCGGGCGTATTTGAGTAATTTGAGGGACCTAATGTCGAAGATGCGCCGTTTTGCGGAGATTGTGGGCGACGAATTTTATGGACCCCGGGACGCACCACCGACTGAGCAGTACAGTGCCAGAGAGATCGTGGGTGGTCCGGGCGCATTGGCGAGTGCCCGGGAGGAAGCCATGACGAGCACGGCACTATTCAATCCCAAATACCTGACTTACCACCCACGGGTGGCGGGCGTTATCAGACTTACTGACGACCTGGACCAGGACGGGGACCTGGACCAGGACGGGGACTCTTCTTCTGCAGGCCCTTCTCAAGTCCCAGACTCGTCAGGACGCCAGCACGGGTCAGGTTTGCGGGACGTGATGTTGTTGGCCGCCAAGTGTTCCTCGGACGGAGATGTTGCGGGGCGCCTGCTGACATTGAGCAAGTGGACTGAGTACTACCGCGAAATGATCGAGCCCCCGCGTCGTGAAGACATTGTGTGGGACGCACCCGGGGGTCGTGAGCTGGACTTTAAAAGTTTGCGCGCGGAGTTCCGGACGTGTTTGGCGATGTGTTTGGACGAGTGCGTGGAGGACTTTGCGACGGCTGTAGTTAACCCTGTTTGTGAACAATTGCGGAAGTTGCCGCCGCCGCACGTGGCGCTGCGCTGGTCGAAGAGGAAATTGGCCAGCAAGTTGCAGGTGGTTGGGAAGGCGGTGCGAAAGAGCAAGACGAAGGAGTCGAACAAAACGCTGCGTAAGGGACTTACTGATCTCATCTGCGCCAGGGAGGGACTTAGGCAAAAACAGGCGGAACAAAAGCTGCGTCGCAAGTTCCTCACACGCTCGGATGAAATCGTCGAAGTCAGCCAAGTCGGGGCCGACTGGACGACTCTCAAACGCGCCGTATTGGGCTTGCATGAGGAAGCCACCAAGTCTCTCAACGCGCAACGAGAACATGCCCGAGGAGAGGATCCCGCAAACCGTGTCGAGGACATCCAACGCTTCTACACACACGCCGAACAATACCTCTGGGCCAAAGCTGACACTACACTCGCCTGGACAACTGCCGCTGCACGCGACCGCTTCCTCGCTACTTACATGGCCCTAGTCCAACACTATTTCTATGCCGTCAACACGCGCCTCGACCTCCTGCTTGGTCTTGTAGAACACGTCAAGCACAAGTATCTTAAACGCGCCGCTAACCCCAGATGTAACCGAGATATGACACGGAATGAACTCCTCCAACAACTCGCCGCCAGTTACCAACCCATCAGTTCAAATCTCATCACGTGCACCACACCGGATACTCGCTGTGGGAACAGTTCCACTACACACGGCGGTGCCATTGGCACCCACCATGCCGGTGCCATTGCCACACACCACTACGGTGCCGTTGGCACCCACCATGCCGGTGCCATTGCCATTGCCACACACCACGACGGTGCCATTGCCACACACCACGACGAAGCCATTGCCACACACCACGACGAAGCCATTGCCGCAAACCGACGCAGCATCCCATCCCAAGAAGCGGCTTCGTTCGCTGAAGCTGAACCATTCCCCGTCCCGAAACCGCGAAGCAGACGTGCAATCATGTCCTGCAGAAACTCCATTCGGAACCACTCTCGTTCGACTGGAGAATTGATATCGTAATTTTTTTGGCTCGACATTGGCTGTGTCTGCGGTGTGCGACACTTAACTAGTGTGGTGTCACACTAGTAGTGTGGTGTCACACTAGTTAAGAGGGACGGCAGTGAAGACGGTGCCGTCATTTGTTGAAGGCCGACGGCAATCCACGACGCCAGTATTACATCTAGTCGCACTTTACTTCCAGTTCACGGACATGTGTTCTCGTTTGGCACACACATGTCTTGGCAGGCGCAGTTGGCTGCCCTGACCAAGTGCTAGAGGGGTATTTATAAATAATGTTGGGATTGTTGAGCAGGCGCCGGGTTACCTCTGGATTCCTACCGTGGTTGAGTACGGTGGTTGTGTGCCCGGGACCGGGGGTGGATGCGGAGGCGTATGACGTATTAGTGGTGCGGAACGACTCGAGTCTGAAGACGAAGTTGCAGAAGTTATTGAGTTGTGTTCCAGAGACTGCATTCCGTTCGAGGCTGCAATATTACGTAACCATGTACTTGGACAAACGACTATCCAAAGCGCAATTTCAAGCGTGCTGCAGAGCCTACAGCGGCTTGGTCACGAGCGTTCTCGGTCGCACAGAGGCTGCGGCCCGCGGCTGGTTGCTCAGTGCTGAGCGAGGTCTCGCCAAGATCAAGACCACACACGGTGAACCTTATGAACTCGCACTCGCGGAACTCGAGGCCTCTAAACAAGACTTGCAACGTGCAAGCTATGCTATTACCTCCGTCCGTATCGTCGTAGGACTCATGCTCCAAGCCGTCGCTGGACATGACTTCTCCCCCGTCTCATCTCACTTGATTGCAGACCCCTCGAACCAGTCAACCACTGACCTCCCGTTTACGTGTCTTACGGATGATGACCCCTTGGGGAGCGGCGTGGTTTTATACCGCGCCCGTAAGTATCGGATGGACGGCAAGGACTATGGTCTCGAGTTCGCGGAACCGCAGTTGCCGTGCCACGAGGACGCATTGTTGCGCGCGACATTTGTGAAGAACTGGTGGCTGGAACGTGTGCAGGAAGCGCTTTACACGGCTGCTCGAGGACTGGATTCGCCTAGTCTGGGCCTTAGCCCGGAACTGGACGAGCCGGCTCGGTACTGGTACCAGCAAGAGGTGGCCGGCGAGTTCGAGAAACGGGCTGCAATGGAAATTCGACGTCTTGAACAGGAGAGGGAGCACGCTGGCTTTTTTCGACGCCTCTTTGACAAGTTGTTTCGCAAGACATCGAAGTCGACAGAGGAAGGCGGAGCCCTGACCGGATGCGGGTCGTCGTTCGGGCCACCGGTGATAGATGTGTTCCGGCCGCCGGCGGACGTGTTCCGGAATACAGCATCGATGGGTCGTGGGCCACGTGAGGTGTGCGAGTCGGCATGTGCGTTGGCGGCGATCGAACGCACACACTTGACACGTATGCGCGAGTGGCACGCGCACACGGCGTTGCTGCGAGCTATAGCGCCGCAAACCGCCTTCCACGGACGCCGTGGGGAACGCGTCCCGCGGCAACTGGCCGGTCGCGAGGTGGTCGGGGGCGACTCTGTGCTGGACGGCACGACTCTGTTCAATCCACGATTTCTGACCTACACTCCCGGACTCGCCGGCCCAGCAAGACTCGCCCACGTGGACGAGCGAACGCTCCTAGCTCTCGCCGCACAGTGTGCCACAAACCCGCACACTGCCGCGCTCCTCCTCACCCTGCACAACTTCCACCGCTACTACCTCTGCGACGACGTCGACGGCCGCGACTCGCGCGCCTGGACCGAATTCGGCACCGAAACCGACACGCCCGCCGGCACGCCCGACGGTGCGACGCATGACCACGACGGTGCGACGCACGACCACGACGGTGCGACGTACGAACACGACGGTGCGACGGACGGCCACGACGGTGCAATGCACGACCACGACGGTGCGACGCACGACCAGGACGGTGCGGCGCACGGTTACGACGGTGCGACGTACGGCCAGGCGCGCCTGGACATGGCGTACTTGGACCCCGAGGGCTGCACGGACCACAGCGACTGCAGCAGCGTGCGTGCGCCAGGCTTCTCCGACCCCGGTCTTTCTGACCCCGGCTTTCCCGGACCCGTCCTCCGCAGTCCCGGACTTCCTGGGGTGGACATGAGTGAGAGCGGTTTGGGTGTGTGTGCAGGTGCGGACTTTCTGCTGACGGCGTTGGAGGGTTGTGTTTCGGAGGTGGCGGAGTGCGTTTCGGCAGCAAGTGCCTCGTTGCGGGCGTTGCCATCAGCACAGGAGGCGTTTTATTTGACGGAGCGGCAGTTGAGGCGACGGTTGCGCGTGGTGGGTGCTGCGGGTGTCAAGGCGAAGGGATCGAAGGCGGCGAGTGGGAGTTTGAAGTGCGAGATGTTGGCATGGTTGCGGTGCCGTGAGGGGCTAAGTGGGAGTGCAGCGGCGGCCAAATTGGCGGCGCGTTTCTGGACGTCGCCAAGCGCAGCTCGCGAGTTGTGCGACGCACGGTCCGACTGGTGCGCACTACGGCGCGCCGTGCGCGTCCTCCACGCGCAGGCGAGACGCATGGACGCCGCACAGGACCGTGACGCGCACACCACACCCGCCGAACTCTTCCTCTGGCAAAAAGCAGACACATGCGGTCGTTGGGCCGCGACTGGCGCTCGGTCACGTTTCGCACTCTGCTACAACAGCCTCGTCCAACAATACTTCCTCGCATTGAACACAAGACTTGACCTCCTGCACGCCATCGCCGCACACCTCGCCCGCACACTCACACGCCCACACCGTGACCCAAGGCAACACAGCCCCACGTCGCACAACACAAGGCCATACAGCTTAGCAAGCGTGGAGAGTGCGAGGAAGCAAGGTAATGTCTGGTACCTGGGGGATCCAGGGAACATAGACGGTGCACGACCAGAGCGAGTTATCACTCAAGACGCGTTGGTCCGAGCACTGGAACGTTCAAAACACCCGCTGCACCCTGCGCTTTCGCTCACCCACTCAAAAGTCCATGGCTTTGCGAGTCCACGATTTTTTTCTTGAACTATGATCGTTTTCTATCTTGGAACAAATTGGCAGTGTGAGTGGGGTGGAGGATCTGTCGACAGGGCCCAACGACATCTGCCAACGACGACGAAAGGGACCCCTGGTCGTGTTCAGCATGTCGATAATGGTAGCTACCTGCGACTCCGCCAGTAGTGGGTCGGTCCAGTGGTGAATGCTTTGTTCACACGGTCGTTCTGGATAAGTAGTCAACCGGGTTTAAAACGCCAGGAATCCACGCTGGATTATCGGTTCTAAAATCAGCCTTATCTTGTGTGCGTAATACGCTTGTGGGGAGCCAGTCTCCTTATCCGAATTGGGTCCTTGCGCTAGGAGCCTGTTGTCCGTAAGTATCTCCAGTTCCTTGTCAACGTTGTTTTTACATTCTTAGCTATAATGCACCGTATGCTTCGTTGTAATTTGCATGATCGTCGTACGACCCTATGGGTAGGTTCGTCTCCATCAGCTGCCGTTCTACCAGACTGTCCGGTATGGACGATTTGTGCTTCTTTTAGTGGATCAGTAGGCGGCGTATCTCGTTCTGCTTGCGACGTGGACATTCCTGCTAGCCAAAAGCCGAGGGGGCTGTGTTTTCTCTCGGTTTGACTTAAACGCATTCTTTACAAACACCTCAGGGCCAACCACAAGGTACCCCCGTCGTACGACATATCCGCCTGTCACATTTTTACTTGGTGTGGTATTGTTCGCTACTGCCTGCTTGAGACCCGCGAAGTCGAGCTGCAGTCGATCCATCCATTCGTACTGGGCGTTCTTCTTCAGGAGCTTACACGTTCTTGCTGTTCCGCATACTTCGGTATGAAACTACGCAAGTAGCCCACCAGACCCAGGAAGCTCTGGCGTCACCCTTACTCGTCGACGGCGCAGCCTCTGTTACACGCCTTACGGACTTGTTGCGTACCTTAATTCCGTCTCGAAAAGCCTAGCACCGCAGGGCTTCCTCCGTAAGCGCTAGGACCTCCTCCTTGGTATCACACAGATAACCGCCAACGTACAGAAACACATTCTCACCAACGAGATCTCCGACCACGTGATCCACCGCACGCTGGAACGCCGTGGGTGAATTCTTGATCCCGAACGTTGCACATTGACCTCAAACAGACCGTTCGGAGTAATGAACGCAGTGAACCGGTACTTTGCACCGACAGTAATGATGAGTGCCGACTTGTGTTCCACACCGTCTGGGAGAGAAGTCGTGAAGTACCGAAATTCTCAATGTGTTGTGCAGCTACCTGGCAACTAAAACCCACATTCTTGCGTCAACGAAACTGAACACTTTCTCACCAGAGAAGTGTGAGGTCATATGGTGCTGATAAGTTACGGCTACGAAAGACAAGTTATGCCCCCCCCCCCCACCTTGCGGTTGGAGTCGGTATTTGCGCGATCTTATTAGCGGTGTTCGCTTACTATGGTTGGACTATTTGGCGTTGTGAGCGGTGTTGCAGTACATGATCTTGACGGGTTGGAGGAAAAGAGCGCGTTTGTGGGTTGGTGTTGCTGGGATGGTGAGTGCAAAGTGAAATGATTAACAAAAGTATTGACGCACGACCACGACGGTGCGACGCACGACCGCGACGGTGCGACGCACGACTACGACGGTGCGACGCACGACCACGACGGTGCGACGCACGACCACGACGGTGCGACGCACGACAACGACGGTGCGACGCACGACCACGAGAGCTGCGCGGACCACAGCAACTGCAGCAGCGTGCGTGCGCTCGCTTCTCCGACCCCGGCCTTCCCGGACCCGTCCTCCGCAATCCCGGACCTCCTGGGGCGGACATGAGTGAGAGCGGTTTGGGTGTGGCAGGTGCGGACTTTCTGCTGGCGGCGTTGGAGGGTTGTGTTTCGGAGGTGGTGGAGTGCGTTTCGGCAGCAAGTGCCTCGTTGCGGGCGTTGCCATCAGCGCAGGAGGCGTTTTATTTGACGGAGCGGCAGTTGAGGCGACGGTTGCGCGTGGTGGGTGCTGCGGGTGTGAAGGCGAAGGGATGGAAGGCGGCGAGTGGGAGTTTGAAGTGCGAGATGTTGGCATGGTTGCGGTGCCGTGAGGGGTTAAGTGGGAGTGCAGCGGCGGCCAAGTTGGCGGCGCGTTTCTGGACGTCGCCAAGCGCAGCTCGCGAGTTGTGCGACGCACGGTCCGACTGGTGCGCACTACGGCGCGCCGTGCGCGTCCTCCACGCGCAGGCGAGACGCATGGACGCCGCACAGGACCGTGACGCGCACACCACACCCGCCGAACTCTTCCTCTGGCAAAAAGCAGACACATGCGGTCGGTGGGCCGCGACTGGCGCGCGGTCACGTTTCGCACTCTGCTACAACAGCCTCATCCAACAATACTTCCTCGCATTGAACACGCGACCACGCCATCGCCGCACACTCACACGCCCACACCGTGGCACAAGGCAACACAGCCCCACGTAGCACAACACAAGGCCATACAGCTTAGCAAGCGTGGAGAGTAATGTCTGGTGTCGAAAAAATCCAAAGAACATAGATGGTGCACGGCCAGAGCGAGTCATCACTAGGACACGTTGGTCCGAGCACTCGGGCGTTCAAAACACCCGCTACACCCTGCGCTTTCACTCACCCACTCAGAAGTTTATGGCTTGCGAGTCCACGATTTTTTTCTTGAACTATGATCGTTTTCTATCTTGAAACAAATTGGCAGTGTGCGGCTGTCGACAGGGCCCAACGACGTCTCCCTCAAGCCGCCCAACCACCGTCAGGGACAACCACAAGGTACCCCCGTCGTGAGCGTGAGCTAGTAAAGTTGCGTGATGGTTTACTGGGTTAAAAACTGCCGACACCGTATCTCCCGTGGCCGCTGTGTCGCCTTGCGTCTCAACGCGTTGCGACACAGTTTTGAGTTAGACTCAGCCGCGCGTCGGCAGCGGTACCGGACGTCGCCTCCTGTACTGCGCCTACGGCCGTGGCTGGGTGTTCGGTAGAGCGCTGCTGACTGTCTGCGGAACTTCCTCTCACAGACAACAGCCCTCCTGGGGGTGGCCGGAGGTTGGCCTAAACAGCAAGCGCAGGGCTTTTCCCTACCTCGCTTGACGCCGCCTCGCTTGCACGTCGCCCTGGCGTGCTTGCGAGACGTAGTGCGTCCACGAGCCGATCACTCGGGGGCATCGTGTCTTTGCTCACGACTGCCGGCGTGGCGACCCTTCAGGAACCCGTACGAGAGAACACTAAAGAGAGGCCACCCGCAGCCGCTGCACTGTCGGCTCCCAAGGAGGCGGAGCGGCGACGAGGTTCCGACCCGGTCCCCTACCTTGAGACGTTCAGTTTCGCTCCGTGGCTGGCTCTTGAGCTGCACGGTCGCTCTGCCGTTAGGACCCCGACGTCCTACCGGCTCCTATTCACCGTTAGGCCTTAACAGCGAACAAGGCCCGACCCGTACAAGACCTTCTGGGTCTTGTACGGGTCAGTGACGCCAAGCCCTAGGAACTTGGCGCCGAGGTACGGCTCCAGTCCGAGACAACTCGTGGATTCGTCCCAGGCGACGTAGGACGAACTTGGAGAATTGACGAGTGGTAAAGGATGAACTCGGAGAATGGACGATTGGTCAAGCAGGAGCTCGGCAGGAACTCGGTGAGTGGTAAAGTGAGTGGAGCCCGTCCCTAAATTTTCAAGCAAATGGGACACGCACCGGGGACAAAAACGGCCGAGAGACACGCCACCGTCGTCAGGGAGGGTGATTCGTCACCCACCTCACTGCGTGGAGTGGGCTCGGAATCGGGGTTTTGGTCCGTCAGGAGACGAGTCGAGCTATCTGCGAGGTCGGAGTCGGACGTTCCCTTGTGGCTCATAGTGTTAGTGATTTTTCCCTTCAAAAATCCTCCCTTTTTAAATCCATTGTCGGTACCGGCCAGCCGGGTATAATCTAAATCCTCGGAGACGCACCGTGACACTTCAGG